CCCCAAAACCCCAAAACCCCAAAACCCCACAGATTCAAAAAAATATATTTAATGTGTTTAAGTTTATAAATATTAATTCCAAGCGAGTTTTATGAGAAATTAAAATCGCTCATCCAGGTCTAACTATTTTTATGTCTCTAACAAGACAGTAGTAGAGATTCTTATTCTTATCTTCTTTGTTTTGTAAGTCTAATAATTTGATATGAGATCCTCGTTTAACATCTTCATCAGTATCATCTTGGTATTAACATAAGGAATACCGGTTGGGCAAAATATTCAAAGAATTAACAATGAAGACCTTAGTAAAAGTTTTAAGATTCAGGTAGCTTATAGATTTTTTATCTTTAATCAAAGCAAATGGATTGTTTTCGTAATCATAGTCTTGCAGTGGAAATATAATAGACTCTTCTTCTAAATCCAGAAAGTTTAGAATATTGTCTTGAACTGCCTTCAGTGAAAATTACGTTAGTTACCAGCGTTCTTTATTGAGTATAACACCAGCTATTGATTCATTATTAACCTACATGATTGAATTGCATCAAGTATTCCCAATTACTTTTGAGTTACTGAATGTGTAGAAATTTGATTAATATTCTTTTTCCATCGTTACAATATGAATACCATCTCTATCACTTCCAATAGCGAAACTAAGTATACCATCTGGAAATATCAAACTAATATCATATAGAAACTTCAATATACATATTTCCTCTAAGCTACTATCAATTTCATCTATTTTATATTTTTGAATGAATTTCTTTTAAGGTATACTAAATAACTCTAATGTTCCATTCAATTGCGCAGTTATCAATAAATCATCATAAATCTTAATGATATTATTTATCTTATCACTACCTTCAGTATTGAAAATTTCTATTTATCTAAAGTCATTGAATATTTTACTAACCTAGCATTCTTTGACAGAATATAAGTGATCATCTTATTAATACATGATACTTTACTATATTTAAAGCTATTAACTAAGTTTAAGATCTTTTGAAAATATTCTACAGTAAGAAGCACAACTAGAGTCAGCTGTTATTATCTTGTCTTTGAATATAAATATGCTATCGAATAAATTAAGCCTAAAGGCGGCAGATTCCTCATAACTATTAATAATTTTGAACATTTCATTTTCTAATCTTCTATCATATTCTGAATACTTATGATTGTTTAAACTATTATCAAATTATGAGACTTTATTTTACTCATGTATAACAAAGTCTTTGTTTGGAGCTATTTGATATACTGCTTCATTTGGTTCTATTAGCAAATTTCTTTTTTTTTTAGTAGATTGTCAAAGAGCATTTTTTTTCGTCTCCATAAAATTTCTTTGATTCTCATCAAAATTTGAAATTGAAGTCTCCTAAATATTATCTTTAGAGAGAAGAGAGAAATCTTCTTTGCTTTTTAAACCTGTTGTTTTATATTACCTCAGAATGTCTAGATTCAGTTGTTATTAACCCTCAAGTTTATTCAAAGCTATATCTAAAACTTATTTAGTCTGCTAGCTAACTTTTTTATTACTTTGATTTATAAAATTGGTTAGCTCAATTGATGCTTAATCGAATTT